GCTGCCAGCCCCAGTGCTGCCAGCCCACCTGCTGCCGCCCCTGCTGCTGCCTGCGTCCAGTCTGTGGCCGGGTCTCCTGCCACACCACTTGCTATCGCCCAACCTGCGTCATCTCCACCTGCCCCCGCCCCCTGTGCTGTGCCTCCTCTTGCTGCTGAGCCCGCTGCTCTAGGCCCACCTCTTCCTTCACCTCTGTCCCCACAGACGTAGACCCTTCATCTTTTATAATTCTTATTCCCCAATTTTCTTATAACTGTATGCCAAAATAAACCACCACTTTCCTGTATAGAAAATTCAATGTGATTGTACGTTTCTTTAATATTTTCTGTTTAGTCTGGATAATTACATTTTACCTATACTTGCAGGATAGACAACATGTCTTTGTCAATTTTACAGTAGCGGTCTAGCTACATTTATCACAGTCTAGCTTTCATTAGAAGTCTCTTTAGTTCTTTGATAAAATTGAAGGAATTAAAAAAAAACTTTTTGGAAAAACTGTCAACAATATTCTATGGAACATCTTTGGTTATTGTATATCTGCAAGAGCAGTGTATACTATTTATAAGGATAATGGAATCGGATGTCTATAGCTGGGGGAAATTGATGATTTGGGAAAATGTAATGATAGGCTAAGGGTGATAAGTCAAAAATAAAAAGACAGATGTGAAAGCTAGAGGTTTCAAGACAACATATAAACTCTCATCTCCTGCAGCCAAAGGGCAGAGAAAGCCAAGGACCAAGGCTAGGACTTAGGAATAGAGTAGCAGAACTCCAGAGACGGATGTTCTCTTAGCATCGACAGTTCTGCCAGGCCAAGGTCAAGGCCCTAATTGCAAAAGAATGGGACCCTGAGATTTGGGATGGGAATGTCTGAATGGATGCAATTGAAGATTTTGGATTTCCAAGTTTTTGCGAATGGGGCTTGCAGAGGTGGTCCAGTCCTCATTATTGAAGTCTAATACCTTCCCCCCTTTTTCTTGAAGATGATGTAGAGCAGGGGTTCCCAAGCATCGTGAGTTGTATAATTATGTCATTATGTATTACAATGTAATAATAATAGAAATAAAACGCACAATAAATGTAATGCGCTTGAATCATCCTGAAACCATCCCTCCACCCCCGGTCTGTGGAAAAATTGTCTTCCCCGAAAATGATCCCTGGTGCCAAAAAGGTTGGGGACCACTGATGTACAGGCCCCAGTCTTGAAAGACAATGCAGACTCCCCTCAGTATCTTTTCCCAACTCTCTTCTTTGCCATACACCAATAACTAGAGTTCAGTTATGGCACAATTCACCCAGAGAACGGCTGAACCAGCTCATGGGAGGCCATAGCCCAAAGGAGCTGCAGGACTCAAAGACGACGTCATAGGCAGGGGCGAGCTTTTCCGCTGGGAGGCACGTACTGTCCAATTGTCTCTCTTTGTGTGATGCCGGCAGCTGTTGACCATCATTGCCTAGAACCACTAACTCATTAGGCACGGCAAATTGTGATATTGCAATTCTATTATTTCTTTGCTATGTATCAGCTGGGATAGTTCCATAGAGAAACTGCCCCTCATCAATATTTGGTTACCTTGGGAATAGTACTACAGGAAAAGCAGAAGAAATGCTTGATCCTTCCCCTTTATTTACCAAATTTGCACCATCCAAAGGTGAACAAAATGTTTTTTTTTGTTTGTTTTTGAAATTCTTTTCAATGTGAACTCATGGATTTCAATATACTTGATGGGGTATCAGTCTGTTCCAATTTAGATACCTGTTGACATTCAAATAAGCAACTTCAAGTTAGCCTCTGAGTCCTCTTCACATGAACCTAATAGACTCTGAAGGTTTTCTTGTTTTTCAACGTAACAAGATATTCCAGACACCTTTGTACATTTCCTTCCCCAGACTTATAATCTGCCATTTCTCCAAGGAACTCCAGTTCCCCTTAGTGAAAAATGATATTTGAGACAGACCATAAAATGAAATGTAAAAATGTTCATTACTACTAAGTCATTTATTTTCTCTCAGCTTTTTCAGTGTCCACAGCTAGAAAATATTTATTTAAAAGATAAACTACATCAGAATTTCTAGCGAGAACACCAGGGTTTTTACCCAACTTCATATATCTTACTTATAAATCTCCTTTCCCCCATGCCAAAAATAACAGCTCTTCAATGTAATTACTCATATTCTACATAACGTTTGCACAACAGTCTTGGAATAACATTGCCAATACTAACAACAACATGGCTACTGAAAACAAATTTAAGACTGTTTATGAGGTTTTGGACAAAATTTTTGTTCTCAGAATAATTACATTCCCTGAAGTTATACCTGGAGATATAGTTAGGTTCCATTGTTGTGGTGGTGATTTTAATGATTTTGAGAGATTTTTCAGATTTAATTTTGTTTTATAGTCATGTAAAATCCTTACATGGGCCCAAAGTCAAAACTACAGAATGAGGTATGTTCAAAGAAATCTAGCACCTATCTCTGTCTTCTCTACTCTATTCCCTCCACCCCCATGGATCAACTTTTCTTAAAACAAATTATGGTTGATATTTCCATTCTTTTTTTCTGCTTCATTTAGGTACAATTGGAGTATAATAAACTACATAGGATTAAAGCGTATGATATGATGTTTTGATATATGTGCACTCATGAAACCAACATTATCACAAGATAATGAACATCCTTCACTCCCCTTACAATTCCCTCCTGCTCCCTACCCCCAGGCAACTACTGATATGCTGTCACTATAAATTTGTTTGCATTTTTTAGAATTTTTTAATTTCAGAATATTATGGGGGTACAAACATTTTGGTTACATATAATGCCTTTGCCTCTCCCAAGTCAGGGCTACAAGGAATCATGCAATGTATATTCTAACTTGCCTGACTTTTCACTCGCCATAATTATATTGAGATTCAAGTTGTTGTGTGTATCAGTAGTTCATTCCTTTTTATTGCTGAGAAGTATTTCATTGTGCAGACATACAAGTGTCTGTTCAAATCTTTTGTCCATTTTTTGTTGGGTGGTTTGTCTTATTATTTAGCAGCAATAATTATTTATATGTTTTATATATATTTTCTTTGTTGAATATACGTTCTATAAGTATTTTCTCCAAATTTGTGGCTTACATTTTTATTTCATAAACAATATACTTTGAAAAGTAAAAAAATTTAATTTTGATAGAATCCAATTAATTGTTCTAGGATGCAATTAAGTTACTTAACAGATCCTTTCTAATAATTTTTTGTTTTCTTTTTTTTAAAAACACACACTATGTTGTGCCATTTTTTAAAAATAGTTTTTTGTTTTCTTTTGTTAAACATCAGCATATCCTTTCTGGACTTGCTTTTTAAAAATTTTTTGTTGTACCGTGGTAAGAACACTTAACGTGAGATTTGACTTCTTAAAAAATTTTGAATGTAAGATACTTTATTGTTGACTATACAGTACACAATCTGTACACAATGTCGTACAGCAGATCTCTAGAGCTTATTGATCTTACTTAACTAAAACTTTATACCTTTTGATTAATAGACTTGCTTTTGAACTATGTGAGGTGGGACCAGAACAACCTTTACTCTAGGGCAAAATTTGTCCTATTCTTGAGACAATGCTCTTCTGAATACTCTACCAATGACCCGTGAATTTTGGGGTTTTTCACTCTGGCTCGAGGGAATATGAACTATTTCAAGTCCTGTGTCAGATCCAAGGGTTGTTTCTTCTGCCTTTTATGGGGTAGAGGGATCTTCCCCTGTCTTGGGTAATTTCTTCACACCAATGCACTGATTAGCACCTAGCTGAGGACTCAAGGCAAACCTTCTGCAGTTCCGGGGACTCTCTGTGCAACTCTCCCCTCTAGCTCTCCACCCTGTGAGTTCCAGCTCTCTCAGCCCCCTATCCCCCTCCACCCCTTAGTCAGGGTGATGACCAGACTCCACTTGGTTCTCCCTCCCAGCACTGCACCCTATAAACACTCCTCAAGAAACAAACCAAAGCAACCCTAAGGATCACCTCATTTGCTTCCTCTCTCTAAGACACAAGCGCCCTGTCCTGCCTGGAAGCCAATGTTTAAAAACCATTATTTCATTTATCTTGTCTGGATTTTTTTAGTTATTTCAGGCAGGAGGGTGAACCAATCTCTGCTACTCCATCTTGGCTGGAAGCAGAAGTCTCTCTTTCCTGTTTTCACATCTTCTTCCATCATTTTAAAAATGTAAACAAATATATTTTCTATATTTTTATCTGGGTTTTTCAGAAATATTGAACATAATACACATATTTCTCCACCTGCTTTATAATCTCTTAACAGTAAATCCTGGAGATGACTTCACAGTAGTGTGCAGAGATGCTCCTTATTCCCCTCTACAGCTGAGACTCCTCCATTGTGGGGACGCACCATAGTTTATTCACCAGTATCCTGTTGAAGGACACTTGTATGTGTCCAATTTTTTCTGTTGTTGTTATTTTGCTTTGTTTTTACAAATAGGCTCACTATGAATAATCTTGTGCAACATCTTTTCGTATTTTTACCTAAGTATCTTTGGGATAATTTATAGAATTGGGATAACTGGGTCAAAGAGTAATGCTGCTATTAATAGTTATTGCCAAATCCTCACGAGTGTGAGCATGTCTGTTTCCACATCATCTCACTATCAGAGGATGCTGTCAAATTTTGAATTTGTGGTGATGTAACAGGTTAGAAGTATTATCCCAGGTAATTTCATTTCTTTTATTATGCATGGGATTGGGTATCTTTACATGGTGAGGAAATATTTGCATTTTATTTTTCCATTAGGATATTAGTTTCTTTTCTAATCTACTTTTAGAAGTCCTTTACATACTATTAGCACTTTGTGATAGAAATTGAGTATTTTTTTATTTAGTCATTTGTGTTTTTACTTTGTTCATAATGGTTTCTTTTTAATGTATCTTTTAAATGACAAATAATTATCTTTCAACTCTCAGGAGAAATTTAGTTGTAAAATGTGTGTGTTTGTGTATAAAATTAAAAAGCATTAAATTGAGAATTGTCTTTAATGATGAGGTTCCTTATTACCTCTATTGCACATGTCGTAACTGGTTCTGGCGAACTTCTCTGAAATGTTTATTACACCAAGACCTTCCTTTCTGTACTCACTGTCACCACCCTAGACAAGCATCC